AATCTCCAAAATCCAACCCTCGTAGACTAAACGGTCGCCGAAACATCAAAAATTAGAAAAACCTTGAAGGAGTCGGTTCCAAACAAGTTGGAGCCGCCTCCAAACAAGATGAAGCCGGCTCCAACTCACTTGGAGCCGCCTCCAAAGAACTTTGAGCCGACTCTAAAACATTTTGGAGCTGCCTCCAACTTCCTCCCCTCCTCTCAACTTCTTCTCTTCAACTACGTCTTCTCCGGTGACGTCTAGTTTGATTAGTCCTCAGCTCTAATGATTTTACTGAATAAAAATAAGTTCCAATGTCCCAGATATTGTAAAAACCATTAATCCTAGATCCACTCTAATTAGAACAGAGTTCTACGAGAAAGAAATTAAAACAAACAAAAACCAAACCTATAAACATATACCGTTACAGACGAACCTAAATATGCAAACCAGATTAATATCTTCCAGTATCACAAGCTTATTTAACTCTGTTTGTATTAATTCACATGCATTATACATCCAGTTCTATGAATTAGTTTATGAGTTAAACACGAAAGACCATAAAACAAGTAGTATACTCATGGCTATCTTTAGTGGAAAATAACAAAGACATATAATCCAGTTTAAGTTTGATTCTTATTTAATCTTGGAGTTGAATTAGACATGCAAAGAACACAAGTCAACGGGATAGAGTTAGGATTAGAACTTGCCTGTGAGTTTTCAATTCAAAACCTCAGTGTATTCTTCCTAAGTTTCTCCGGCGAACTAGGAAATCCTCCTCTGTTCCTTCTTGCCTCCACTGTCGTGAATTCTAAAACCCTAGGCAAAACTTAATACCTATATTTATAGGTTTACACAAGACCTAGGTTCAATTCAAACCCTACACTAAATCCTAGTCGGCCCATAGAAAACCTTATATAAAATCTACGTCGGCCAACATACGTGACTTCTCAAAGAATCCTAAGTATTAAGTACTGAACGTATTTTAAAAAAATCATTTAACTTAATTACCTAATTAAACAATTCCTTACAACAGTGAGATTAAAGTAAAACAAAACAGTGAGATCAAAATAAAACAAATAAACAAGTAAGCCAATCAAATACAAATTAAACATATAATTAAATTAAACCAACCAGTCAATTCACACATCATGTAATTCAAATTTTACACATAGCCACATAAGCACCTAAAGATAATAAAATAAATACTGAAAACAATAAAATAAACAATAAAATTCCGATTATATCCCTTTCAAAACTAGGGATATTACACAACATATGTGGAGCCATCGCGTCGTATTGTAGATCGTAGGGATCAGATTCTTCACAATAAAGTTATCCCTTTAGTGCGTGTTCAGTGGAGTCACCATAATGAGGCTGAGTCTACTTGGGAACGGGAGGATATCATTCGCTCGCAATTTCCTGAAATACTGGAAGAAGGTAAGAGAGAATTCCGATGACGGAATTCCTTTTATCAGGGGGGAAGAATGTAATATCCCTAATTTTAATAGGATAGTCTCGATATTTAATTAATTGTTTAAGTGCATTTTAAAATTCATTATTTGATTATTTGGTATTCGTTTAATTATTTAATTGTTTAATTGATGATTTGTTTATATGTTTATTTTTAATTAAGTGGTTAAATGTAATTTGTTGCTTTAATTGAATTATCTGTTATTTGATGATATGTAGTTTAATTGGTAGAATTAAAAGATTTATTTTATTTTAAATTTTATTTAAGGATGGGCTTGGATAATATGGATTACTTGGATAGGAGATTAAATGGGTACGATTAATACCCATGGATGGTTATACATATGTATATGGGTATATATGTATATAAGGTTAATTTAATTATTAATTATTAATAATGGACGTTATGGGATAACAGACTTAGAGATATTTATTTTAATTATATTTTCTTTTCCTTCTTTTATTATAATTCGAATTAGGTTAGATTAGTATTGCCTATAAATATATCGTTATATTGTCTGCCTAGGGTAAAAACCCTATTCACGATCAGTGAGGTTTGAGAGAAAAACAGAGAGAACCAGTTATGGTTTCGGCCATGATTAAAGGTCGGACCAAGGAGGAGGGAAATGATTGCTTGGGGGTTGAACCAAAGCAGTAGGATGTGTACGGCAATCAAGGATCTCCGAAAAATTTTGGAAGACGGCGTTGAGATTTCCATCCAAAATCTCAAAGGCAAGTTCTATATCTAACTCTCTCTCTTAGGCTTCGTATTTTTTACATGCCTAAACAATTCCAGAAGAAATTGAATGTTAAGTTCATCTTTCATGCATGTTAAACTTGATTAAAATTTTCTTTCATGCATGTTAAACTTGGTTAAAACAGTATACTTGTTAATAAAGTTTTAATTGTTGAATCTTGAGTTTTCTTGCAAAAATATTAGTTTGAATTAATGTTATCAAAGCATAATGGATTTAAATATTGTTTCTGGAATACACTGAGACTTAATACTGACCAGTAGGGACCTTAGAATGGAGGAACGGGGTAATTGGAAGTTGCTGGAGGTGAAACAGATGATGAAATAGGGGAAGAGCCGGCTCCCTTTTGAAGGGAGGTGGCTCCCCTTTGAAAAGGGGCGGCTCCCCCTTGTTGGGAGCCGGCTCTACCTTGTAAAGAGGTAGCTTACCTTTGTGGGGAACCGGCTCTACTTAATGGGGAGGCGGCTCCCTTTGTGGGAGAGGCGACTTCCCTTCTGTATGGTGTTTTGACGAGTTTTTTTTGGCCACAATGCTTAGTTTTGGGGTTCCAGAGTGAATTAATAACTTCTGTAGGATTGAAAATGATTTCTATGGTATATATTAATCTCCCAGAATGTGTATTAATGCATAATGAATCACATAGTGCTAAGAGCTTGAACAATATGAAATTCTTAAATAAATTTGCATTATGTTATTGGATAAGGATGGTTTAAATTGCTTATCTTTGTTTTAGCAATTTTCTGTGAATGATTATACAGTTTTAATTATGTATTGACGGCATAATATGGTCATGTTATTTCACATATTTTTATTATGCTTGTTTGGATTTAATAAATGTTTAGATTTATTATTTATTTCATCAATTAGTAAATTTATGGATTATATGTACTGGTATGGGACGGTGGCATATCAGGGATGGATTAGCTCAAGACGCTAAGTCCTACCTACTCTGGAATAAGGGAACAGATTAATTATAAAAGTTAAGTCCTACTTATATTTATGTCAGGTCAACAAATAGTGAATGACATTACCTTGGTTTTGGATGGATTTTAAATATATAATTATGTTATCTCGACATGAGCTAGAGTCTCAGGGTCGACGGTTAGGGAGCGTATATGCAGGGGATGCATAGCTGGCTACGATGGTTAGAGGTATATCCTGTTAGGTCTAGGTACTCATGCCTACTTCAGGTGCATTTTACATGTTGCCTACTAGTCAGGTTGAGACCGTCTTGTAGTCTAGTGAGAGTCCCTTAGTGTGGATATATATATTTACGGATTATATAGTTATTGTTGAGTTGTTTAGGATATACATGCGTATCGGGTCTCTGTTTGGATTGTAGTAGAGTAGAACTTATTCGTAGGCCTGACCCACTATCATTTTTCAGGTGTTCGACAGTTCCAGGCTTAGAGTTTGATCGTGCTAAGCAGTTACAGTCACTTACTCCTCTGACTACGTAGGACTACTACTTATGTTTTAGTTTTGGTTTTCTTTTTAGTTCAGTTATTTATTTTTTCTCAGTTGGGATATTATTAGGGGTCCACTAGATGGATTTCCAAGTTGTAATAATATTGGAGGTTTTGGCAATATTGGATTTTATAACTTTTGAGGATTTATTATTTAGAATTCTTTCAGCTTAATTATTTATTCTTTAAATTCTTTTGTACTCATGTTTGTTTATATACTTAATTGTTTGGTATCCCTCGGATCTGTGCTCGGATTTAATCACCCGTGGCTTTAAAATCGAGGGGTATCACACTCTCTCTTTCTTTTTCCATCAATTTCCTCCTATTTTTGGGAGGATTACAAAAGTTACTGTATAAGTCTATTTCCATCCCTCCAAAACCCTCATTTTTCTTTCCTTTCCTTTCCTTTCCTTCCAACTTTCAATACCAAATATGTTTTTTTATCACCCTCCAAAACCTTTCTTTTCTTTTCTTCCCATTTCCACTCTACCAAATTGGGCCTAATTGAACTGGAAATAAAAGAGCATCAGATACATGACGACACGGTTCAATTACCGATAGTCCAAATTTTGTTACACGGCTAATAGGAGAGCAATCCAACCACTTAAATAATACAACAATTAAATTATAGCGCAATTTAAGAAAATTAAAAGTAAATCAGACCAATCCATATATAAAATACGGTAAAATGCAAAAAAAAACCCTGAACTATTGGGGTATTGCAAAAAAACCCCTGAACTATAAAAAAAAAAAACCCCCGAACTATTGTTTTGTTGCAGTTTACCCCATTAGCTCACCGGAAAAAACAAAAGACCATCTAACCCCTTGCTATAAAACGACGTAGTTTCATTCCTTAGCCTCTTAAATTGTTGACATTGAAGCACCTACCAATGAGAGCTTGACAAGTCACCCAACACCCAACATAGGCCTACTTTCTCTTTACAATCAGGCAAACACGCATACATACACATACACATTCATATATATATATATATATGGTATATATCTATATCTGAAATCTATTATGGCAAATTCGTGTATAGAGTTAATGGTGTTGTTGTGGCGGTGGCGGCACGGCGGTTGAGGTTAGAGGAGGAGATGGATCTAGTGAGGGTGGTGGTGTTGTGGCGGCGATGAGGGATATATATATATATTCTACCTCTGTCCCAAATTAGATGTCCTGTTTGGGGAACCGTGACGGTTCCCTAAATAGGACATCTACGGTTCCCCAAACATGACATCTAATTTGGGATAGATGGAGTATATATAGACACACACAAGGAATAAATCTAAAATTTATTGGGGTAAATTCGTGTATGGAGTTAATGGTGTTGTTAATGTTATGGCGGTGGCGGTTGAGGTCGGAGGAAGAGATGGATCTAGTGGAGGTGGTGTGTTGTTGTAGCGGCGGGGATAGGGGTTGAGGTCAGAGGAGGTCACGGATCACCGTGGACGTGAGGTGGTGGTGATGTTGTGGTGACAACGACAGGGGTTGAGGTCAGAGGAGGAGATGGATCACCATGGACGATGGCAATTCCAGAAACACCATGGACAGAGGCGATTCCAGAGTCACCATGGACGGCTGTGATTCCAGAGTCTAGACGGCAATTCCAAAGTCACCATTGACGGCGGCGATTATCTTGAAATCCTCAGTTTTTCACCTCAGATTCAATTTTGCCTCATTCAATCCAAATCTTGATTAAGACGATTGCTCCAGTGTATTTTCAGAAACCTTGAATTGAAGGCCATCACAGCTTCGAGCAGCTTAGAGGAAGAGCGGCCATCAAAGTCATAGGTATTGAATGCTAGGGTTTCGATTTGGGACTATGGACTGAGAATTTTCTTCGAATAATGGATTGAAGAGTAGAGAGAAAAAAGACTATTGCTCTGCAAGGCTGGCTCTGCATCAGTGGCAGGTTCGGTGATATTTGTTTTTGAGAGCTCTGTGCACCATCTATGAACTTTAAAGAAGGAAAACTGTGAGATGTGTTTGGGTGTTTGAGAGGATTTATTTTATTTTATTTTATTATTATTTTTTTATATCAGAAATTATTACGGGTGTTGTGAAGAAGATTATCAACATTGATATACTGCGTCTATTGACGATGAACATTTACATAAGGGTTTGTTTGGATGATGGTAACACAAGGGGCATTAGTGTCTTTTCATGCTCATAAGGGCATTATGGTCATTAAAGTAATAGTGTGTGTCGCATGAGTGTCATCTGATCACTCTAACTCCAAAATCAGACCGGAATCTCACCGGAAGGGGTAAACTGCAAAAAAAATGCATAGTTCAGGGAGTTAGTTGAAAATTTAATAGTTTCGAGGGTTAATTGCTGATTCCCCAATAGTTTATGATTTTTTTTTTTGCATTTTACTCTATAAAATATTCACTCTATCTCAAATTGTTAATTTTAATTACTCAATTTGAATCTAATTTATTATTAAAATTTAAAAATCGGGTCTACATCCTTTTGACCCGCCCAAATTCCACCCTGGTGACTCAATTTACTCGTCGTTGCCACGACGTCGTACGAACTTTGTTCAAGTAAGTGCAGCGCTTCAAATACTGACCATGGAAAACGACCGTGCAGGCTCGGCAGGTATAGACGAGTGGAGCAATGGAGGAAAAGGAGGGTTTATGCAAACGTCAAGACGAGCCGTGGAGGGTTCTTGAATTCTACAGTGGCATTGGTGGCATGGTACCTACAAAACCCCTCTCTCTCTATATATACACACACATGATTTGTATAGTTTTTGACATTTTTCTTGTTGATTTAGAGATACTCAATCGTGAGGGCCGGTGTGAATGCAACAATAGTCGAAGCTTTCGACATAAACGACATCGCAAACGATGTTTACCAGCACAATTTCGGCCATCGACCCTACCAGGTAGTTGTCAATTCTCATAAATCACAACCTACAATTTGAATACAACATTCATGACCTTATTGTATGAGCTATTATGGTAGTTAAATTCGTTAAGTAAGGTTTGTCTATATACAGTAGTTCTTGTCAGCTTCATTGCAGCCTAATTGAAGGTTCAAGTCATCATAGCCGCAAAATTGGGTGTGTTAGTTACTTGCAAAGAAAAAAGAAAAAAACAAAAGGATATCTGGAGATTGTATAGCTTAGAAGCTCTGTTTGGTATACAAGGAAATATAGGAAGATTTTTACTTAATTTTCGTTATGGTGTATTTCGAGGAAATTTAAATAAAAGAAGAAAGAACATAGAAAACTTTTGTTGAAGTGACAATGGTATGTAGTGTATTTTGAAGAAATTTAAATAAAGGCAGAAAGAACATCGAAAACTCTGTTCAAGTTAGAATGGTCTGATTTTGTTTTTTGCTTACTCTAGGTGGGTTTTCCGTTTTCTGGAAAATGGAACAATACCATAAGGTTAAAAATTTATATTCTTTAGAAATTAGTATTATATTTTCAGTTTTCTCATTAATGAAACAAGGGAGTTCTTGTTTTCCGCTGGAATTAAAGCTTTGTTGGGATGATGAGAATATTTGACATTAGATAACAAGTCGGAATTAGCATACCTATTTCCCGTCTACAAAAATGGAGAGAGAGAGAGAGAGAGAGAGAGAGGTAAACAAGCCACTTGGTTGAGGCAAAATTTTCATTTGTTCGAAGCAAAGGCAAGTATGACTTAGCCTTCAACATTTTAAATTCCACCTCTTTCTTCAAACTATACATGAAGCACTATTGTTTTCCACTTGAACTATGCAATTTTTCTTTCTTTTGCATTTGGGCTGCTCGCAATTAGAAACATTCTGACCACCCATTTTTATATTGTTAAGCATCAGTTATTCTCACTTACCTAAAAATTGATATCGTGAATGTGACGAGTCTTTTTTTTTGGGTGACCATAGGGTAATATTCAAACCTTGAGTGCTGCTGATCTTGACAGCTATAAGGCGCATGCATGGCTTCTTTCTCCTCCTTGCCAGCCATACACCCGACAAGGTGAGTTATTACTTCGTTTTGTGTTTAATGGGTCGTTTTTGTTGATAAAATGTTCTTCAAATATATTGTCCGTAGGTCTAAAAAAAGACTCCAGTGATGCTAGGGCCTCTTCTTTTCTCAAAATTCTTGAACTTATACCACAAACTTCGCAGCCTCCATTGATGCTGTTTGTGGAGAATGTTGTTGGATTCGAGGTTTGTCATGGAAAAGTTCAACTTGATATCTGGATTCAATTTTATTACTGATATAGTAGCTACTTATTTTTTTTGTGGATCTTTTTTTTTTTCCCCCCTGCAGACATCTGATACGCATAGGAAAATGATTGAAATGTTGGCAAAAACTGATTTTGTTACACAGGAATTCATTTTGAGCCCATTGCAGTTTGGTGTGCCATATTCTAGACCACGATACTTTTGTCTGGTTGTTGCTCTCTCTCTCTACATGTGTGTGTGGGCGTGTCTGTTTATGTTGTATTTTTATGCATCCTTAGACATGGAAAAATGCTCATAGATGACGTTTTTGAATTTTGTTGGCTGTTGAATATTTTAGTTTTGTGAGACCAAAACTGAATGTGCATCGCTGAAAGTTTTTTTTTTTTTTTTGGGCGGGGGGGCTGGATTTGGTTAAAAGGGCTAGTAAAATATTGTGCTTTATGGTTTATAACAGGTGTAGGAAAAGGGTGGGTGTTTGAGACGTGGATAGGTACAGAAAGAGAGCTTAGGGCGGTTCTGGGTGCTGGAACAGTTGATTTGTGTCCGTTATTTGCTATTGTTGAGTAATTTTAAGTAGGCAAGGGGTTTGGGTTCTAGAATTGGATGTTAGGGGATTAAACTAACTATTATTTTTTGGTGTCAAAGGCTTAAGCAGTGCAGAAAAGGAACAGGTTCATGGCTTTCTGCTAGCAATTTTATGGATATAAGAAATTTATGGAAGCTATAATCTGCGCAAGTGAACTCTTGACATTTATTGCGTTAGATATCTAAAAAGCAGAAAATTGTACCTAGGTGATAGAATGGCAAATGAAGATTCATGTAACTAGCTCCAGGCTTTATATTAATGACTTGGAAACTTTTGTTAAGGGGGTGATATCTGGTTGAAGATTGTGTTTTGTTTGCAATTGTTCTTAACTTAATTAATTGGTCAATCAAACAATTATTGTTTTTCTTTATTGGCAATAAGCCTGTGTCGTTGTGCGCATGATAAAAGGCAGTTCTTTATCCGATTGGTAAAATTCCTAACCTTGTACACCTCCACCCACTTCCCCCATTGACTCTATACAACCCATATGCGCGTGCGCACATGAGAGAGAGAGAGAGAGAGAGAGAGAGCTGAAAATGGATATTTTTTTTTTTTTTTTTCTTCTGAGATGGTGGTTGTGGGAACGCCGGGAAGGGTGGGGTGTGGCAGATGGTGGTGGTGGATAATAGCTGCTCAAGTATGGTGGGGACAGCCTTATTGTTGATGGCTAGGGATGATCCCCATGAAATGTAGCTGGTGAAGAGAAACCTATCACTCGTTAGAGTTGATGTTTAGGCAATGATGGTTATTTTATGTTAACGTTGCTATACTTGAGCAAAAAGTTGTTACCATATTTGTCTTTGACTTTCTTTGAATTGTTTCCTTTATTATATACTTGTAGAACAAGAATACTTGTAGAACAAGTCTTTTCCATTCTTTAGCTACAATTCATTTCCAATTCACCTATAAATAGAGGTGATCATTGTAAACAAAATCAATAGAGAGTATAATGAAAGACATGTAGCCCTTTGGGCTTTGTGTGTTGTAGAGGTAAAACCTAGTGGCTAAACCACATTATATCCTTGCATTGTTCTACCTTTCTTTCTCTCTTCATTTTTATTTATTTAACATGGTATTGGAGCAAGTTTACCGTACCCTACTCTAGATCGTTCTTCAGCTCATTTTATCTTGATTGATTTCCCTCCATTATCAAATTGTTAGGCAACCATCATTTTATACTTTGTATCATTCCATGCATTTCTTTTTCATGTCAACTGAATAGTGACATCTCCAAAGGAGTTTCTTGGTGACCATATCATTCAGGAGGAGCCTCTACACTAAATGACATTATTTATTGTCATCTCGTTATTGTTGCAGAGTTATTTTTGGTCTGCATAAACGCATATTGTTGGCCATATATTCTTATCAAGTGTTCAGAATCGTGTTCTTCACTCCTATAGACCCTTTGTTCACTTATTGTCAAAGTGATATTTTGACCTTTGTTTTGGTCTATGTTGATGATATCATCATTTACTGAAAAAGCAATTACTTGAAACAAATTTTTTTTTTTTTCTTTCTTAAAAGATTTGGGCAACCAAAAATATTTTCTTGGCATCAAGGTCACTCGTTCTCAGAAGGGTATTTTTCTTTCTCAAAGCAATTTCATTTGGACATTCTCAACTTGCGGACATATTCACCAAACCGTTAGAAAAAGATCTGTTTCGTGGTTTGATATGCAAGTTGGGTGTTATTTCCATACACCCTCCGCCTGGAGGGAGAGTGTTAATGTTGCTATACTTGAGCAACTTACCATATTTGTATTTGACTTTCTTTGAAGTCTTGTAAAACAAGAATACTTGTAGAGCAAGGCCATTTGTAGAATAAGTCTTTTCTATTCTTTAGCTACAAGTCATTTCCAATTCACCTATAAATAGAGGTGATCATTGTAAACAAAATCAAGAGAGAGAATAATGAAAGATATGTATCCCTTTGGGCTTTGTGTGCCGTCGATGTAAGCCCTAGTGGCTGAACCACGTTATATCCTTGTGTTGTTCTATCTTTCTTTCTCTCTTCATTTATTTTTTATTTTAACATTTTACAAATATAATGTAGGAAATGCACAATAGTTTTTCTATTGGTATTGAAATGATACTTAGAGAATTTGGAAGTATATTGTGTTTTGAAGCATCTTAAATATATGTGTAACCTGTACTATCTACATTACAGGCAAAAAGAAAACCATCATCATTTCGGAACCCAATCTTCAACAACAAGCTGCTTTGGGCTCCCAGTCCATTATTTGAATCTGACGAAAATATAGGGATTAATGAAAGTGATCAATCACAGGAGAGATGGGATAATTTGCTTCAAGCTTGTGAACCTGTAGAGAATTTTCTTGAATTCAAGACTCATAGCAACAAAGTCAATATTGAATCTGGCATTGCGTCTCCCATAAATGGTCCTACAAACGTTTCTGAAGCCTTGGGGGAAAGTGATGAAAGAAATGGATTTGACATTAACTCTTTGAACCAGTACATTGTTCCACTAAGCTTGATAGAGAGATGGGGAAGTGCGATGGGTATCCTTTTTTGTTTTAATTTGGTTTCTGATAAGAATTTTTTTTTTTTTTTTTCTCTATTGTTGCCATATATAACTGCATCTCTTTGTGAAACATCCTTGAAAAGAATACAGATATTGTCTATCCTGATTCTAAGCGATGCTGTTGTTTTACAAAAAGTTACTACCGGTACGTCAAGGGTACCGGCTCTCTTTTGGCAACTGTCCAGGTAAGATTTCTTTATGAACATGCAGTACTTTTGTTAATTATCTGAGAAATTGTGTGTGCGTACATAATTTAGTATTTAATTAGGAAACTAGGTAAGCTTCACAGTTCACACCTCATAAATTGAAGCATTCCTTCTTTAATACCACACTTTATTTTTTTTATTGGTACTTTCAATATATTAAAGCTTTGAAGATGATCTGTGATGAAAAAGGGGAAAAGAACAAAATTTTATGGGTGCAGTATATAGTTTTCTTGAAAAGATTACTCATTCATTGTCCCCACCACAATCTGTCTCCATCCCTTCTCCTGCCCCTTTTCACTGCTTCATGGCACTAATTACCACAATATCAAATTAGTAAAAAATGGAGACAAGGCAAAATACCAACCAAGTTAAAAGGGAAATTTTATGAGACTGTCATTAGGCGAGCTATCTTATTTGTTGGGCGTTAAAAAGAAACAAGAACACCGCCTTCATGTAACTAAAATGAGAATGTTGCCAAATATATATATATATATATATATTGACTATTGAGAATGTTGAGGTGGATGATAACAGTTCATACGAGAGATCGATTTACTAATCAAAGCATGATGTAGAGACTAGGAGTAACACCTATTAGTGATAAAATAAGAGAAAGTAGGCCTGGGTGGTATGGACACATATAACGTAGACTTGTAGATGCACCGCTAAGGAAGGGAAGATTAGTTTGCGTAGATTGTAAGAGACGGCAAGACCGACCAAAACTAATGTGGGTTAAAGTAATTATCAATGACATAAAAAATTGAATCTAGGAGGAGACATGACATATATTAGAGTAAAATGGAAAAAGAGAATTTACGTGGCCTACCCCATTCGTTTGGAGAGGCAATGATGATGATGATCAAATTAGTGAAAATATAATTATGAACAGCATGGAAAAATATATCTTATGACTTATGAGTGTCTCGACCTCTGGTAGCCTTGTACGTGCACATGTGGTTGTGTAAAAGTCAGTGAGTGTATGTATTGCGTTTTTTAGCTTAAAGGTGGTATCCCTGTTTCTGTATATATAACTGCATCTGTTTTGTGATGCTTAACTATCAGTCCAGAAGATAGATGCATCAGGTAGTCTTCCGTGCTGTTTTTAAGTTAGAACTCTCCCATAAACTGCAAAAATGCTGTTTTTTACAGTCAAATGCTTGGAGATGGGATGCCATATGTACTCTTATTTCAAGAATTGATTCCCAGATAGTTTTCATGCTATATGTCGGATTGGACAGATTCTTAAAATTCTGTTCAATCTAGCCAGTCAGACTGGTCTCAGATATTTCACCAGTCTGAAATTCCAAAAAACATGTTTGTGATCTGGTCAAATGTCCAGTTCACAAACTGTACTTGATCCCCCAGCTCTCACATTAATCTGCAATGATTTATTTTTATTTGTTTTTAATATAGTGGCACATAGATACAGGTTAAAGTAGTTAATAAAATAGTAGTTCTCTTAGTGGTACCTAGATGGCTTTTGGTTTCTTTAAATATTGTGTACGTAAAATTCGGCATTATTAGCCGGAGTTGTGCGTCAGATATAATCGATATATGGTCATATCCAAAAGGACATAATTACAGTGAATCAGATTGGCTTGGCCAGACAACTTTGCTGGCACCTGGTCAATTCCAAGTCAGATTCAAACATTAAATAGGATGGGTAACACTATGCAGTTATGTTATTCTAGACTGGTGCAATGCTACTGCAGTTATCTGTATATTTACAATGCAAAAATTGCATCAAGTTCACTGTACTTTGTTCAGGAAATATTTTTCCTGATAATGTTACATGCTATAGCAATTTTCCTCGTAACTTTAGTGCAAAATGAAGGACATGCAGCCAAAGACGGAGGACAAAGCATCTTCATTTGAGGAGCAGTGCCTTCGATTTTTTACTCCCAGGGAGGTAAGTATAATTTAAGTAAATCTCTTTCTTTAGTGGTTCTTCGTTTCTTCTCATTTATTTATAATGGATTAGTGATTCAAAAGGGGGGCTCTTTTTTTAATTTTTTATTTTTATATATAACAATCAGGTTGCCAACTTGCATTCTTTTCCAGAGGATTTCTGTTTTCCCAAGCACATAAGCCTTAGACAACGGTAAGTCGTGTATGTTTTAAAAGACAATTCTACACTATTTCTCGTCTGATTCTAATTTATATCTACAACTAACTTGAAAATTGACAAATCTCTTCCTAAAATTGTCTACAATCCTATGTTATCCCTCTCTCCCCTTGATTTTTTTTTTTTGTGTGTGCGCGCGTGTTGTTTGGGGGGGGGGGGGGGGGGGGGGGGGGGTTGTAAAACCAAGTGAAAATTCTAGAAGTCATGTATTTAGAGATACCATAATAATATGTTGTCTCTACATGTCCAACAAACTGATGTCTTCCAAGTGTCCTTTTAAATGCATAACTATAGTGAGAACAACTATTTCGTATAAATAATGACCGGTTGGGCTTCAAGCCAGCCTACCCTCTCTCAACATCTTGCACTAGCAAGAGAAGTACCAAATAGGTACCTTGAGTACATTAAAAATTTAATATACGGTTCCATGTTGGGCTTTTTCCCTTTTTTTGGTAAATTAGCAATTTGTTGGGCGATTTCTGAATACAAAATAAATGCCAAAAAGGACATGGAGTGATATTTGTCCCTGGTATGACTTACCTAGAGACTTTAGCAACTAAGGTGGCGGGCAACTTCAGCATATTTTATTTGTATAGATGCGGAAATGTCTGCATTACTTGTGTATTGGAATGCTAACACACAAAAATTCATACATCTCCCTTGAAGATGGACTCCTTAGGGTTCTAATTCAAATGCATCATTGATCCTTCAATGATCAGCTGATCTAATTTCTTACAGCACCTTAGTTTTTGAAGCTCTTAAGTTTATAATGCTTTCATTCGGCTGCAGGCAGAGAAGGATTCTTTATCCAGTTGTCCAATTCAGATGGTCTTGTGTTTGACTTAACATAAATAATCTTATTGCTTCTGGCTTGTACTTAAATGGTTCAACATTAAGCTTATAGTTTTGGTTTTGTTTTGTGGTGGTGGTGGTGGTGTTGTTGTTGTTTTTTTTTTTTTTTTTTTTTTAATGGATGAACAACAAAGCACATTTAACATGAGGGCAGTCATAGAATTATAGTACTTAAATCTGAGATTTTTTTTTTTTTTTTTACCACAACAACAACAACAAGCCTTTTTCCTAAGTACTTTAGGTCAGCTATATGAATCCTATGTTTCTATTCCGCGCTATCTAAGGCCATTGCCTTAGTCAAACCAGATGCTATCATATCCTTCTTTACTAACTCTACTCTCGTTAATTTTGGTTTTCCTCTTCCTCTAGCATTACCCTCAATGTGGACTATGTCATTCTTCCTTACTAGCGCATTTAAAGGTCTTCTTTGCACATTTCCAAACCATTTTAATGCTGTGTTCGGTAGGAAGGAAAGAAGAGGTGTAGAGAGAAAATAGGAAGGAAGGGACGAATTTCCTTTGTTCGTTAGAGATGATATAAGGAAAGAAAGCAAAATAGGAAGGATGACTCATTCTTCCTCCTTTACAAATTTTCATCGGCCCAAAAATAGGCGGAAGAAAGGAGGGAAGACAAATGGACTATTATAGATGTTTTAAATTAAATACTATCCTAATTTATACAAGTTTTAAATTACAGTATTATCCTCTGTAAATTACAATATTATAAATATTATTGGATATAATGGTAAAAACAATTAAAATTTTCTCTTTCCTTCTCTCCTAACGAATATAGTAAATTACGAGCTTATTCTCTTCTCTCTATCCAACCGAACAAAAAGAAGGAAATACATAATCTCTTCCCTAGTGATGTCTAGTCCATCCCTTCTTCTCTCCCTTCCATCCAATTTTTTTCTTTCCTAATGAATAGAGCATAACTGATTTTCTCTCCAATTTGTGCTACTTCAACCATCTCCCAAATGCGGTATTTTCTAATGCTATCCTTTCTATTCTTACCGCAAATCCATCTCAACCTTCACATTTCCGCCACTCTATGCATATGTTGTTTTTCTAGAGTGTTTTTTTATTTATTTTATTTATCATATTATAAAAAGAGAATTTAGAAATTAACACATTTCTAAAATGGTTGAAGTAACGCTAATTGGAGAAACAATGAATGAAAATCGACTGAGATGATCTGGCCATGATGTTCAGGGAAGGTCAATAATTGCATCAGTGAAGAAGGTGATGTGATTCTTATTGAGAGCGATGCTAAGAAAGTGGAAGACCAAAACTAACATGGGTTGAGATAATTATAGAAATATATGATAACTTACCGTTTAACCATGTAACTAAAGACTATGGCCTAACTTAGGTTGAGATAATTATAGAACTATAAATGGAAGGAATGGTAAAACATAATTCATGCAACCGAGAGGAATGAAGAAATGGAATTCATGTAACCGAACCCAAATAGTTGGGGAAAGGCTCTTATTGATTTGAGTTGAGTTTAGGCCATCTTCACGAAAAGACATGCAAGACTAGCAATTCAAATATGACATCTTTGAGGTGACCTGCTATTGCTCAAGTCCAAGAAGATACTGTTTAAAACACGTACACATAAATACGTATAACTGGAAGTCATATCTTTTGTAATAAGTTTGTCTGGTTGGCTTCTGTGTATGGAAGATCATATATAATATTTTTAATATGATTTCATCTCTGAACTTGTTTCCTGGTTGTCATTTCACTTTTTTGTCTCTTTTATTATTGATGCTGTTGGTGTTGGTGGTGTCATTATTATTAATAATGTAAGTAAAAAACAATTAAAGCATAGGACTGCTTTCTGGCATGTGTAGCAGGTTGGCAGTAAAGATTTTTGTAAAGGTGCATGTGGAGAACGTTGGGTCTGAAGCATAAATTATTCTGACATTTGTACACATCATTTTAGCTAACTTGGTAAATTTATAATTCCGGTTGTTTCTCTCTGCAGCTATGCATTGCTGGGGAACAGTTTAAGCGTAGCAGTGGTTGCTCCGTTGCTCCAATATCTATTCACTGAACCATCATAATAATATAATCGCAATCTCCATTGATGCAATAATTTTCCCCGACAAAGATGCATTCTTTGCCTTCATTTTACCTTTTTTCTGGGTTAACACAGTCAAACAGATCAGTGCTACAAACTTTGGTTTACAGCAGAGGGATGAAGCTTGAATCTCTGCCTATTTTTCACGAACACGATAATCAGGAGCTCAGGAGCTCGAACTTGTATTATATAGCTTTTGAATTTAGACGAAATGTCTCAGTTTTGACAAGCCTCATGTTGTTGTACCATTGGTGAATATATATATTCTACTCATGTGAATTGTTATCTGAAAAATGAATGTGGTAACTTTCAAATGCAATGTAATCTCAACTACGTGTTTATACTTTTGCAGGCTTATATTGTGCCTATTTGGTGTTGTAGGTGCAATTGGGATATATATATATATATTGGTGGCCTTGGTGAACATAACATTGTACTTTACTTGCACCCAAAACATTTCTGAAAAGATTGTGAATGTTACCAACCGTGTCAAGTTTGGTGGTTCAAAAGTTTAATGAACAGACGTGACTGCTTTCTTAATTTCTAACATTAGGAGGGGGGAGAGAGAGAGTGTGTGCGTGTGCGTGTGTGTGCGCGCAAGCATTTTTAATATGACATTTCATCAATTAGTTGATAAATTATAAAAGAACGACTTGTCATTTGTCATTAGCAAACGAGAGGCTCACAATGGTCCATACGCCAGGTTGAGGTGGGAAAGAGTAGAGAGAAGATAGGGGGTAGTAGGATGGTACCGACTTACAAAAGTAAAAGAGATATAAAATTATAACAATTATTCAAGAATTAAATTAGAGTTATACAATATAATTATGGAAAAGAGTAATGGACTAAAGAAATAATCCACAGTGAAGTTTCACAATAGAGGTTATTTATTTAATAGAATAATTAGTTGAAGTGGCAATAAAAAAAAGATCTACATGTGATTTTCATAATTTACATATTTATCGGACAATTAGTTCTCCAATTAAGATTAAGTTTGGGTTAAAAATTTATAATTTAAATTTAATTAACGTTGAACTTGGATTGAGGTGCTAGCAATTTGAACCTAATTCAAACTTGAATTCAAATATTATTTATAAATAAAATATATATAATATTCAAATTACAATAACCTTTCAACATTATTTTTTAAAATCTTAATTTATGGTATATTAATATTTTGAAGAATTAATTTTCCAATAATTTATTTGTAATTTGTTAAAAGCTTACACTAAGTTTTAAAAACTTGTTGTCATTAGGAGTAATTAAGCTTATGGGTATCCCGAATTAGTCCGACTTTTAAACACGAAATATTAGTCCGAACTGCAAATTCAAGTTAGTCTTGATTAAACTCGAGTTAAGTATTTAGAGTTAAAAATTAAATTAGAATTAAATATTTCATGTATCAGCTTGAGTTTGAGCTTTATCTCTACTGCCAATTGGAACCTTACTATTGATGAATTGATAAAAAGAAGATTAGTTATTTGAAAAGGAAGTGACCCGCTGAGGGAGGCCAAAACTGACGTGTAATGTTATTACAAATGATTTTTAAAAATTAAATATTACAACTTGTAATAAAAAAGATAAATAAATGTCACTGGAGTAAGAAAATGACGATGTTATCGGTATGCACCAAATAAAATAATCAAAATTTTAAAAGTTATATATATATATATATATATAATTGTTTGATTTGAAATGATACATACCCGTCCATGTATTGGATGTGGATGAGCTCCGCTTAACATTTTTTTAATTTTTTTAACTCCTAACTATATCGTTATGATTGATTGAGAATTGAGTACGATTCTAATAATAATTACAACGTTCAAATATTTACAATTTGATCCAAAAATTTAAATTATTAAGTAATGAAGCATATCGATTGAGACTTCGTTTGGAATTGTTGTTAGAATAAAAAAAATATTTTTATAAATAGAGTTGTCAAAAAATTAGGGTTAGTAAAAAGTATGTTAGGTGATTGGTGCACATTATATCCCATTTGGGAGAGCTTATTAGAACCTCAAAGTCCTTCCAGGCCTGAAAAGTTCATTTGGCAAAATTGTAACGTTTGGTTACACATATGTGAAGTACTTTATCAAAAAATAATTAGTTCAGTAGAGAGTTTGAATGAAGTAACAATTTGAAGTTTTTAAAATTGGATTTTGAATAGAGGTTAATATTTTAGATAACTCTTTTCATTAGACAATTTTGTCCTTTTTAATTTTTATAAAGACAATTACATCCTTTCCTTATGAAGTTGCTATTATCAACTATGATAACATCATATTAAAGGATTTTATTGTAAAATTAGCAATAGAATTATTTTAAATAAATTGTTACCAAAATAATTTAATTGTGAAAATTAGTCCCATGTGGGGGAGCTTCCTTGTATTAAAAGTCCTTTATTGATAAAGACCTTTGTGAAAGGAATTTTGTTGGAAAGAATTCATAAGAAAAAGACGTTTGGCGAGCACATTTCTTAAATTTACTTTAACTTTTAAATTATTTTTTTCTTAACAATAATATTCTTTGTCTTTAACAATTATGGCAACCCTCCAATAAAAAAGTGTGAAGGCAATAGTGGTGGAAGGCGATGACAATGCTGGTAGTGGTGGAAGGTGATGACAATGCTGGTAGTGGTGGTGGAGGAATGTGATGATATCAACGGTGGTGAAAGGTCGCAGTAAAGGGTGGCAGCGGTAGCGGTGGTAACAGTGGAAGCCTAGAAGGTGACAATGGCGATGGTAATGAAGGATGGTGGTGGCGGTGGGAATGATGGTGTTGGTGGAATGTCACGGTGGTGGTGGTGAAGAGTGATGGTGGCAGCAACAATGGTGGTGGTTCGGGCTACAACTCGGATGGGTTTGAGGTATAACTTGAACCCAATCCACCATATAAAATGCAAAACCCAAGCCCAACCCTAACCCTATCCTCAAGTTTAACCACTCAACCTAGACCAACCCATCTTTCTAATTTTAAATTATGGCTTGCAACTCGGGCTTAGATTTCGAATTAAAACTTAGGGTTAATTCGGGTTACTCATATGACTAATCTTTATACCGAAAATTTAATATGATCTTGAATTAGTTTTAGATTAAATTATCTTTAAACAAAAAGAAGTTTAAAGACTTTTTGTAAATTTTTAATAAATTACAAACAAATTTTTAAAAAATTAATTCTCTTAAAAGTTAATATACAATAAGTAAATATTTAACAAAAAAAAAAAAGTTGAAAAGAAAAAAAGTAATCATAGTTTAAATATTATATATAATGTATTTAAAAGTAAAAATATATATGAAAATAATATTAGAATTTGGGTTTGGGTTGGCACAAGTTGGTAGTACTTCAACCTAAGCCCAATCTTAATTAAATTCGGGTTGAGATTTTTCAACCCAAGCCCAACCCTAATTGTAAAAATGATTGCCCAAACTCGTGAAAAATCAGGCTGGGCTCAAGTTGGGTTCAGGTTACCTAACCCAAGTTGTACCCCTAGTGGTGGTCGTTGGTGGCAGTGGTAGTGAAGGATGATGGTGGTGGTGGTGATGGCAGTGGTAATGGTGGTGGAAAGTGGTGATGGTGGTAGTGAAGGGTGATGGTGGCGGTGGCAGTAGTGAAAGGTGGTGGTACGGATGACCAAGAAAGAATAAATGATAATTTTGTCAATTTATAAAAAGTACACAAGGCAAATTAATAAAATAACAAATTTATCTTTTAAAAACATTGACTTCTTAAAAAGAGGTTTCAAAAGCAACAATTTTTTTCTTCTCTTAAATAAGTTTTCTAATAACCATTAAGGGATAATTACACTTACCTCCCCTAAGTTTAGGCGTAATTACAGGCAGTAGCTCCAACGTTTCAAAAATATCACTTACCTCCCTTCAATGTGATCACCGGTAGGTTGTGTTAGAAATCTATGTAAATGTACTAATATACCCCCATTATTATATTAATATTAATTACTTGTTATTAAATTACTCTTTTACCCTAACAACTTTTTTTTTTTTTCATGTTTGGATCCCTAAATCTGGAGAGCCACCATCTAAACCACCACCGTAATGGCCACAGCCACCGCCTCCGCCTCCGCCTCCACCATTCCTAACTCCGCCACAACCACCACCATAGCTCGGGTCCTGGGCTTCGTAAGCCGTACAACGTCAAGCACAACATGAGGCAATAATCAGTCAAGTCTCGTAACTGAACATCAATCTCTAACTTAAACTTCATGGGTCTGAGCATGAACATCCGCCGCCTTGACTTCGCTGACATGGGCACGATTGCCGTGATATTCACCAGCGAATGTTTGCACCTAGCGAAACTCTTGCTCGAATGCAAATCCGAATTTAGAAACCCCAGCGAGTTGGACCAGTCCTCGCCGGTGAAGCGGTTCGAATCGCTGATCAACCAAGAGCTGCGAGACTTTAAACAACGATGATTTGACGACGCTAAAGTAGTCGCGCTTTTGGTACTCATTGAGTTTGTCTTGGTCGCCGTCGTAGGGGATGATGTTTCTATAGAAGATGATATTGTTGTCGATTGGGCTGATTACGGAGTTCAGATTGGTGAAGAACTTGAATAGGTTTTGATTTAAGGAGGTTTTTGGATTGTGGTGGTGATCAGAAGGATTTTTTTTTTGCGAAATCATTCATCAAGAGGTTGCAGAGAGGGAGAGAGGATGTTTTATGCTCCTTCGGAGTCCATGGGTACTGATTCGATCCATATGGCGGTGAGGTCGCCGATGATCGGCTCAATCAGGGGTTGCTCTTGCTATGGAATTCTAATTTCAAAGAGGAACTCCGTCAAGCCATCACTAACGCCATTCAATCAAAGACATCAATGCCAGTGATCGCCACTACCCCTTATCGCCACCGCCACTGTGCCTTCCTAAGCTCCCGAATCTCCATGGTCATGTTCTTTGAACCCTCGTGGCTTTGTAATTATAAGTTTTAGAGAGATAAAATGTATACACAGAAGAAGCAAATGTGATATTTGAGAGTGTATGAGGGTGGAAATGTCTTTACAATTATAATAAGGGTAAATATGGTACTTTATGCTCAAAATTTGCTGACATCATCATAAACCTTTATTGACCGACATTGACCATCACCGGAAGAGGCCAAGTATTACGACGGAGCAAACTTTGAGGGAAGACGGTGTAATTTTTAAAATATAAAAAGTATCGCCCGTAGTTACGCCTAAGTTCAAGAAAAATAAGTGTAATTATCTCTGACCATTAAAAACACTTTTAATAATTACCAAACAAATCTAAACATAAATTTTCAAAATAAAAACACTTTTACAGCATAGAAGCAATCACTCTGATTCAAACTCATATTTCCTCTATTTATTTCACATCCGAATTCGTGCGGTGGAGCCCTCTCAGTCTTTCACACCATTCCAATGTACAACCTTCAAAATCTATCAAGAGCGTCCTGCACACGCTGAATAAAGCGCGTGACTATGCAACTCCAGCTAGGTACAAGACAAATCAGGTTTTGTTCAAGGAGTGTGCGCATTACGCATTCCTATTTTTCTGGTTGATGAAAGCTGAGTTTTAACACCAAACTTCCAATAATACCCTTTTACACACACATTCACATAATCTATATATTATATATATATTCACAATTTTATTATTAATTCCCATTTATTTTCTCACACAAACCCTAAAATCAAAATTACAAATTGAAAGCTCAGAGAGAGAATCAAAACAACAATCTTATAAGTTGTGTTCAAACTTCTTTGCAAATTTCTAGAAAAGGTCAGTAATTTTGATTTGTAGGGTTTCAATTTTTCAAATTAATGCTTAATGCATCATTTTAATATTTTTTGTTCAATTTATTCTTAAAAATCTGGAAGCTTTTAGAGAAAAAGTTCAATCAGAATTCATTCTAAAGTGGTCAATTTTTTTGTTGTTGATATTTTTACATTTATTACGAGTTTTATGTATGTTTTATTAGTTCTTTATGCTAATTATCTGCTTACTGAGTTGAGTCTTTTGCAATTAATTTAATTGGATTCATTGAATAATTTAATTTTTTTAGGCTATGAATTGATCAGATTTTGTGTTCTACCAGAGGATTCTGATGGATTTTTGTGTTAATTTTTTATTGTTTTCTTGGGGGACTTTTCTAAGAATTTTTTGGGGTTTGTTGACTAACTAGTTGATAATGTTTTGTCAGACTGTTAGATCTTTTGGTTCCTATTTTTTTTTAGGGCTTATAGTGTTTTTAACACAGATGGCTGTTGAAAGAAATTGATATGAAAGTTCCAAGTTTTTGTAAGGTTTTCTTGTTAATTTTGGTTCATTTTTTGATTAAATTCATGTAAACCTAGACATTTTATGGAAAAAAATACTTACTTCTATTCACCAATGTTTATATAATGCTTCATTCAAAGTTCATGATCTTTATCAATCATTACCGTCTGTGAATTTCAAGACAGTGACGATCACTTTCAGAATGTGGGTCTATTGTGTTGATTGTTTGGTTTTGTCATTTTTCATACAGATGGTATGGAATCCGTTATTTGATGAAAATTTATTGGTTTTGACAGATTGGATCTGCATCATTATACCCGTCATGAGGTTCAAGAGAGGTAGTAAAGTGGAGGTAATGAGTGAAACTGAGGTGCTGAACTCATGGCGTTGTGCTGAAATTGTTTCTGGTAATGGCCATACTTACAGTGTGAAGTATGATTGTTATCTGGGCTCGACAGGCAAGGTGTTTGTAGAGAGGGTGTCTAGGAAGGCTATTAGGCCTTGTCCTCCGCCTGTGGAAGGTTTTGAGAGTTGTGTGGTTGGTGACATTGTGGAGGTGTTTGATGATATTTCATGGAAGATAGCCGCAGTCTTGAAGATTTTGAGCGGGGATCACTATTTGGTGAGGCCAATTGGAGTTTCCCAGGAATTCAGCACCCATAGATCTAACATCAGGTTGCGGCAATCTTGGGAAGATGACAAATGGGTTGTTATCGGAAAGGTATTCCTTTTATCTGGATTTATTCTAGTGGCCCCTCATTTCTGCAGTGATTGCTCTTTATGTTTGTCAAGATTAGTTGAGATTACATCGAGCTTGGAGCATTATTTTACTTGATCACTTGTGAATTCCTTTGTGTTTCAGCTAATACATTTAATAAATGTAGCTTATTATTATTTTCTATTGACTGGGATACAATTTTGGCTGAGACTTGGATCCTTTTGTCTTGTCAAGTTTGTGCAGTGTTGCCGTATACAGTGTTTTCCGAAGCAATGGTGACATGGCCCTATGTTTTTGTCTTTTAATTTTTATGCAATGGAGTTAAGTGGTCCTTATTTACCATCCTCACTTTTGCACCGTGTAATCATATGTTTTATGCTGCATACAGGGTTCTGGAAGTTGTGGAAATGCGAAATATAATAAACTGTCAACTTCAAATTGTTACCAGAAGGGGAGCTTCCAAGTGCCTCGAGCCAATAGAAAGACTGAGCTGCAAGCACGGGATGATTGTTTTGCTGTTCAGAAGAATGCTGGATTGCGGGAGTCGAGGATACTCTCTTCTAGAATGCCGAAGAGAGCGTCCCTTTGTGGCTTCTCTCTTATTGAAGTTTATACATGCAATGATCAGAAAAGAAGAGCAATTGAGAAAGAGGGTAGACGACAACGAGTGGTTCCGACCCCATTACTGGAAAAGGTAGATGCTGTAGCTTACCCACGAGAAAATCTGGGTGAAGAATACATGCATGCTTCCTTGAATAATAGGTTAAATGGATATTATGAAATGGAGAGGGCAAAACTAAATGGTGTTGTTAGCTGTTCCATTGCGAGAAGCTCAGGACCTAGTGACACAAATAGTGATGCATGTTCTGTCGGTAGTTGTGGAGATACTAGGAAGAGTCCAAATAAGAATCCCAGTCATTTCATAGCAGTACCTTGTCGAGATACAGATACCCTATGTAGTGATGCAGAATCATTTTATGGCTTGGGGGGTGAGGAGGAAAATTGCCCCCTTCCTCCAGAAGAGGAAGTGGTAGCTAGTATTCATAGGTTAGAGTTGCATGCTTATCGCTGCACTTTGGAGGCATTGTATGCTTCTGGCCCCTTAAGTTGGGAGCAAGAATCATTGTTGACAAATCTCCGCATTACGCTCCATATTTCTAATGATGAACATTTGATGGAGTTGAGGAATTTAATTTCATCTGGAACTGGTATTCATTTAAGTTAACAGTTAATGGGGGGTTTTCTCTTTAATTTTCTTCTTTAACGTTAGGATTTTCTTTCTCGTCCTCGATGCTCACAGAACATTGTGAAAAGCAGGATGACATCTTGTAGATTCTCTCTCTGTTATTTAATCTACAGTTATATAGATGGTTTTTGCTTTTGTAACTCCAAATTATGTATCAGAATTCTTACTAAGAAATGAATGTATCTATTCCCTTCCTTTTTTGGTTTAGTCTTCTTCTTCTGGTTATAATATGTCACAAATTTGTAATAAAGTTCTTGAATAATTTTTCAGTTAATGAAAGGAGTTGTTGTGAGCTTGAAGCACCATATATAAGTGGCAGAAAGCCAAATCCAGTCTCTCTGTTTCCCATTGCATCTTTGCAGGTGTCATAGCAGGTTTCTATTAAATTCTGTTGTGGTTGGAACTCTTATCTTTGAAATTATATGCTTCTATTTTTTGATGAATGCCCGGAAGTATATGATTGTTGTAAGTCTACTTGAAACCCTACATCTGTGGCACACAGCCAGCTTGTTGTCTTTATGCATCTGCACATAGCTAGTTTGCCTTATAAAAGATTTCTTATTCTGGATGAAGTTCACTTATTATTAAGGTCAAAAATGCTTTATAAAAGAAGCTTTCTGGTGGGATATTGATCTTTGTACATTGAAATGCTCTGGATGTTACTAAATGTCCAAAAGCTCATGAAAGCCAAGCTTATTAGGTTTCATTTTGTAATCCCATTTATTGCTTTCTAATTGAGTTCTAGCAATGATTGATGTGAAAAACAACTTGAATGGTATGCAACTATGTATTCCTTTTGGTTTTGACATAAACATGTTTTTGGATCAAATTCCAAATCTCTTTGATTTCCTCCATACAATTTGGCAGCATTTTGAGTTCCCATTTGAGGATGTTATTGATGAATCCCTGCATTTTCCAGGGCCACAGTTGGAGGCATGCATCCTTTGCTTCCAAAGGTCTAAAGATGATGCTGGGGTTTGCCGTCTTTCTTTGTCCTAAACAAAATGGGACAATATCTGCTTCCATTCTCATACAAACCAGCTAATTGATGGCCTACCACTGGTGTCATTGTTTGATCCGGTTTACTAACAAACCACACTTTGGGCCAGCTTTGAACTGTGAACATGTCTTCTGCTGAAGGAATTACAACCAGAAGTTCAAAAATTCTGCCGTCATTATCCTGACATGGAAGGTTCTCTTGTCGAACTTTTACCTTAGATACTCTGCGTCTTTAAAGCTTTTGCATGCTGATCTGCATTTTCACTCTTCACGGTTTGCATTTTATTTTGTGGTGCACTTAATTATCTGTTTTTTGTTGCTTTGAATGAATGAGGTACTTGCTTTATGTCACTCTTAGATATTCCACATCATTAAATTTTTGCATGCTTATTGGTGTTTTCACTCTTCATGGGTTGCCTTTTAATTTACAGTGCAATTTATGTCATTAATATATGTTAATGAATCTTTAACTTCCATGTTAGTTTATGATTATACTAGTACATATGCATTCTTGAAGTATGGATACCGTCATAAGGGAGTCATATCCATATTGTATCAGTATTGGATACTGATACTCTTGGGATATTCGTGAATATATGCCTAATACTTTCAAAACACATCCATAATTTGTGTGTGTATATATAATTGAAACAAGTATCTGATCTTCTAGAAATGACTTAAAATGTGGGCACGAGATTGGTAAGCAGTTGTCCGGAACCTTGATATTAGGTTCTATTTTTTTCTTTTTAAGAAGATTGAAAGCCCAGTGAAAATCTGCAGGTCACCATATTCTCTGTTCCTTGGTTCGCAAAGACAAAGTTGGATGTCTTGGCATAATGGAACTGATAATAATCACATATTAGTAGATCCTTGTTGCCAAATGGGCTTTTCTCTCTCTTTGTTAACTGGTCAAATTTGGTGTGGATCTGGCAGGATTTGGATTTGAATCTGAATCCGATTCTGATTGTATGTACTGAGATATGAGTTTGAATTCATCTAAAGTTGATTTGGTAAAATATCTGAAAATAATTATTTATATTGAATCCAAGACATAGATAAAAAACAGTGTTTAAAGGTAAAGGTATAAGTTGGCATTTTGCTATCTTAAGAAATTATCTCCATAGATTTATATTTGAAATATATTATTTTCTTGAAGTTAAGTGGGTTCGAAGCTTAGTTGGTTTGAATCCAAATTGATACAAGGTCTTTCTGATCTAGGATTTCTTATACCAAATTGGATTCGAACCAATGGATATAAATTGGTGTGATAATCGGATAATCATGTTGAAATCATATTCTGATCTGACCCATTGACAGCCCCAAGTGCTCAACTTGGTTAGCTCAAACTGATTTTGTTCAGCATTGTTTTACTTTCTTCTTTTGAATAAAGATCTCCTCCTCAGCCATGTTTTACTTTCTTTCATGCTCAAATGAAAAGTTGTTTTGAAAAAGTATATTTTTTTGGTTATGGTATTATCAACTGGGAGACCACTAAACATGTGAAATTTTCCTTCTTTATTTATTTATTAACTTCTAATTTTATGGGGTCATCTTTATGAAGGTAAAACTCAAGTTTTTATTACAATTAGATATACCACGTAAGAATTTTTTCCCTTTTAAGTTTAACAGATTGGCATGGTCCAGGGTGTTTCTGATTTAGATATTTTAGAACCACAATAACTACTAGTATGGAACTCTACACACTATACATAACTCGTTCAACTGCACTTGAAAAAATCATAGTAGATTCATCTATATTCCTTGGAAAACACGATAAACTGATTTATTTTCCATGGTGAATGTCCCAAACGGGGTGCTGTAACATGCTTTTATGTTTCTGTTTAAAAATTCAGTGTTGGTTCTTGAGCTAAATCATATCCTTTGAAATTTATTTTATAGTAAATTAAGATTTATATAGTCATTGCTTCATAAAAAGAAGCTGAAGATACTTCCTCATGCTAACGATTAGTGAGGATAACACACATATCATGGTTAGGGGCTCAAGTTCAGCCCACAAGGCTGATACCCTGAAAATATGTGAACCCATAATTCTTTTCCTTTCCAGTGCTGTATATATAAATGATAGTGTTGGTATATATTTTTGCTGCCAAGTTAAGCATATCATTATCATGCCTCAACTATAATAATGTTACCAGTTTCAGGTATTAGAGGTGATGATTGTTTTAAGGATGCAATTGAATAAGCTTCTACTCATTGTACTTAGACCATATAATTGATTCGGCGACATACAGATGACCAAATACTGTGGCATGAATTTTTTTTGATCCAGAAATGACAACTGTTGGCACCATTCATCTGTTGGGGGGCATGAAAGGCCTCGACAAATGGGATGATGTAGCAGAAGGCCGGAATGCCTGCAAATGAACCGCAAGCTGCTGTGAACCAACTTACCGAGCCCCCAACAGAACAAGATGATGTTGGCAGATCGAACAAGACTTCAACGTGCACCATACGCAAAATCGGATAACAAGGATACTATCTATCAGAAGGTAGTGGCGTTGAAAGTTTGTTACGTATCTGATGTAAAGTTTTGTTAAAGTTTGGTAAGAGATCGGGTGCAGGTACTTTCTCTGAATTTTTTGTTTCTAATTTGAGGATGATGTTGTAATTGTTTCATTGCGGTGGTAAAGCTGATGGCATGTACATTTTTCATCTTTACCACTAAAGAAATAACTCGTTACCATTGAACTGATATGCTATTTATGAAAGTGTATTCAATGTGGAAAATTGTTTACAAATTGGAATGAGCTGTTCAAAACTATAGTATGGCAGATTTTTTTATTGATATTTGGCAATGATAAATCATTATATTTATTTATGTGAAAAATTAGTTACTATGGAATGCTAGTTTGGTTGAAAATACTCAAGAGGAGGCTAATTAATTAGTTGTATTGTTATAGGATAAATAGATAATACAAGTTTATTTATATATGGGCCTAATTTAACAATCATTTGGATTAATATTTGCTTTATACTATTAAATAGAGGGTGACTAATTTCCTCACTGAACGGTTACATTTTATTTTTATAAATTTTACAAGTTCTCATGTATTTGCGTATTAAGGGATTTTGTCATTTTTTGTGCGTGCAGTTAAGAAACACACTCACACATTTACTTGTTCGAGATATTACTATGCTACAACTTCTAATTATATGTTTAATACCTGCGGTGGAAGTGTACGAAGACATATACATATTATTATTTGATGTTAAAAAATATCCTGTTTGCTTTTATTAAACTAGAAAAACTTAAATTTTCTTTTGGTTTTAATTGATCAACCATCTTTTTGGTAAGGTCTGAATCCCTGAATGTGGCTGCAGCCAATGTATTCTGAATTCATTTTTCTTTTCTTTTTGTGCGCGTGTGTTATATTTCAAAAATGTTAGGCTATTATGCAAATATCACAAGAACGGGTCTGTACAGTCTCTAAGTTATGTAGATTTTATTTTTATTTTTTTTGGCACTCTAAAATTATGTAGAATAATATAGTCTCTAAATAGCCTTACTCCTCGTAAATATCTATCATATGACGTGGAAGGTTTCTACAATTTTCTTACGGCTAGAAAGCTTTGTTTTGGGTGAAAAAAAAAAAGCTTTGTTTTGATCTCAACCGTTGGTTTAGAGCCTACATGCTTATAAATAATTGTGAATTTTTCATATCTCTATCAACCATTGAAAATGTGAGATAGCAACCACTAAAAGTTAGTGTTAGTCAAGTCGTTATTGTAATTTGGTGAATTACTACGTTATTTATATACGACTGAAAGCGTATAGAATCAAGATCAATTTTTTTTACTACTTAGATGTATAAAACTTAATGGAGGCTTCTTTCTATTTTTAAAACATACAGTTTCTCTAAGTTGTTGATACCCTTTTATAGATGCAACTCTATAAAAGGTGGCTTATTGAATCTGACGCTGTACATGGAAAAAATTCAATAGCAATTTAGTTTGGATTAATATTTATACTCCCATGGTACTTTCATCTTTATTTTAAAATGTGTTTTATTATCTTTCATATAAAGATGTGCGGAAACAATTGTCAAATTATTTTGTGCAAGTCTTTGATATAAAACAATACTATAATACCTTACTTTTCAAAAATGTCCAACTTCATTTGTATTATGTCCAACTTCATTTGTATTATATATATTCTTATAATAAAAGATATATTAAACATATGAAGTTCATAGCGTAGCTTACTAAAGGTTACCAGTTTACAAGCGAGGAAAACTGTTTTCCACTTGTGTGATCATGATATACGGTAAATTGGTTTTTAGAAAATCCTAATTCCACTCCAAAGGAATAATTTGAAAGAACTCCATGCTGGAATATCAGCAAGAGCCCACTACGTTGCAATTGCAAAACCAATGAGACTACTCTCTGAAGCTAATGTATGATAATACAGAAAGTTAAATAGAGGTGATTAAGAGATGGTAATGGCAATAATGATTATCTGAAGATTTTAATTTATAAAATAGAATTAGGTACAATTTATATTATTATAATACGAGTAGTGATAGAAGCTCCCACGACCCCATTCCTCTCACATTTGAATTCTGGGTTAGTCACATTCATTCACACTAGTCGTAAAAATAAGCACACTTATAATCGGAATTTATAAAATATTTCATTGATAGATTTGTATATGTCTTATTTTTTTATTTTTTTTTTATTTTTTATTTTTTGGCAAAAACTATATACTGAAGTCACATGTAAACACATGAAGAATCCACCTTGACAATGCTCTTACACGATCTCGCAAATTTTGGTTGGATTGAGAAACAGTTTAGAGCAACCGGTATGGATAGATTTTTACTAGCAAATCAGTCAATATTACGATACTAAGGGACGGCGTGGTGCTGGCTAATGGTGGGCCAGCATATTTTGCTAGCAAACTGCATCGCCACAGATAACAGCCTGATTGCTAGCCCAAAGTGGGCCCAAAACTTCCCTGCTTGTTTGTTTCCTTTTTGTTAATAAAAAGGCAATAGATCTTGACCAACCATCAACTTTTCCTAGCAAAATACTGTAGCTAAAGTACTGTAACTAGTCACGTCAACACAATTGCTGACGTGGCTAACAATCAATATATGCATTGCGAGCCAGTATAGCTATTGCTATACCGGCTGCCCTAATATAAAACTGTTCAGTTCTGTAAAAGCTTAAAGTATTCTTAAAAGCATGTTCCACAATGATACAAGTTTTCGCAAATCTTCTTTCAGAAAAAAGTTTTACCCACCACCCGCTTGTTGGCTCAATAGTACCAACTGTACCATTACGAAGTTAGGGCTGATTTCTTAACCTCTAAAAAGAAATCACAAACAAAAACCACAAACCATTAAAAAAAATAAATATAAAAAAAATTGTATATTCTCTCTCACAAACAAAAACCACTATAGATCCAATAATAGTCCAAACCTCCATCATAAAATCAGAAATCCTCAATTGAAAAAAAGGGAAGGGGGGAATCAGCACAAATTCATCATAAGAAAGTCATGGTCGGAAATTCTTTTACACCAAACTTAAAGGGGAAAAAAACAGTTACATCAATGCATAACAAAGAAACTGAGACAACTATGACACAATTCTTCAACAAAAAAGACCGATCTACTCGAACGCATCGTCATCGTCATCAGGAAGAGGCTGACTCGCAGCTGCAGCAAGCTCAGCTTCATGCCTGTAGAAACAATTCAATAGTATAAGTACGAATGCATAGGTACAAAAACAAAATAAAGGAGAGGAGAAGCCTAGGGTTTCTAATGGCAAACTAGCAAACTAAGATTAATGGACTGTTCACGTGATGGAAACAATTAACAATGAACCACAACAGCCACTGAAGTTCAGAATTCATTAGGCTTAGATCACTAAACCATTTACTTAGCAATTTTCAAACGGGATATTCCCCTTTGGAGAAGCTAAGGCAGGCCTCAAACACAAATTCAAAATGCATCTCCAAATTTCACAGATCCCAACAATAAAGAAGAGAGTACTTCGACAAAGGTGCTCAACAGGCCATGAGGAAGGAAAAAAAGAAAAGAAAAAGGAGGAGGATATAACAACAATACTTCACTTTTAAAATTTCTCTAAAATCACATGCTAAGAAAAATAGCAGAAGAAAGCTGATTCTTAAGGGGGGTAAACTTTTTCAAATTTTAAAATCAAACACACACACACACACACACACACACAGAAGAGAGAAAGATTCTTGAATGTAAGAAGAAGCTTACTGTTGCTGTGCAGCCATATCAATGTGCACTTCTGGAGGAGCAAGGGCAGGAGACTCCACAAAATGCAAATTTGGATCCCTGGAATACCAACCCAAAAAAGGTCGAATAATTACAATTGCATTGTGCAAAACTAAGTGTGTGAATGAAATTATTGGTCCCTACCCTGCAAGTTTTCTGGCAAGATACAGGAAAGGCTTCTCAAAATTGTAATTGCTCTTTGCAGATATCTCATAGTACTGCAAATTCTTTTTCCTGTGGAAGGTAACCTGCTTTGCTTTCACTTGCCGATTCTTCACATCAACTTTGTTTCCACAAAGTACAATTGGGATATTCTCACACACCCTGTGATTTGCAACATAAAGTATTCAAAATATTTCAATACTTAAGTCATAATGATCCACTCAGAAAATAACAGGATTGGATTTCTTGACTCACCGGCAAAGATCCCGGTGCCACGTTGGAACATTCTTGTATGTCAATCGGGCAGTAACATCAAACATGATGATGGCACATTGGCCATGTATGCTGCGTATAATACAATTTTTAGCACAATACTTGAATAACCGAGACAAAAACAAGTATTAAAAGAGAATAAAAAAGCATTCAAAAAAACCATATGAGTGAAATTATGTGCGTCAAATAAATAAGTATTCAAAAAATTATATTAAAAAGATAAAAAAAAAAAAAGTATGAGAAGTGAAAGGTAGATGTGCATCATAAATTACCCTACTCGCCAACGAAAATCATTGTGGACTACTTTCAAGCATGTACCAATCAAGGATGTCAATACTTTCTTTACTTTCATTTTAGAGAAATCAATTTTTTTTTTTTCCGGAAACAAATTATATAAAATAATAAGTTAACAGGAATTCAACAATTGCACCAATGAAGAAGGGAGTGGGCGAGCAAAACTACAATACCCCCACTGAGATTCAAACCAGACACTACAAACTCAAATCCTAAAATCTAAAATTCCAGAGAAAGCAATTATTACCATCAGGTTTCATCAGGCAACATTCAGGGTGAGAAATTATAATATCTAGGTTATATTCAATCTGGCCAAAACAGTATTATTTTATGAAGACAGAGACCTTGCACCATCACTGGGAATTGTAAATGTAATCATAACAAGGCTTCGAGCATATAAAAGTGCATAGACAACCTAAATCTCGCCTACAAGGGGGCGTTGGGAGGCGAAGATTATAGATATACTATCTTCATGCCTGTCAACTTGAGTTTTCACCATTGCTACAAGCATATTGGGTTCAAAATAAAACAGAAACAGAACATTAGAAAAAACCTCTTATAAGTATCTTTTAATTTGTAGAATAATACACAATCACATCACAAGAGCATAATCTAACGTATTGCATGGAAATAGTGGATATAAAGATATCTATCTATCTATCTATCTATCTATCTATCTATATATATATATATATATATATAGTTACTAAAACAATATATGTGTACAGTTAGACAATATAAATCCTTCAATCGCAAAAAATAGTCCATCTTTCCTTTTTTCTAGATGTCCCCAGTCCCCACAATAGATATCTACTTTGAAAAGTCCAACATACAAATTGATGCAAATTTTCCAACTTGCAGTTTCAAACTGGAGGTTAGTGTATTAAGCACAAACTAATTTGAAAGCAATGGCTGGTTATAGAATTTTTTGAATTTCAGTTGAGTCTAATGGCAATAAGTGCTTTTTTCCCTTACGAAGCTGGAATTTCCAAAATGTACTTCTAATTTGGGACAGAAGCTGTATTATCTAAGGTAAGAGAATAGAAACACCCTTAAGAAAAGCAAATGCTAAAATTAATGACCAGCAAGGAGAAGAGGAGAGACTACTTTTGTAGTGCCTATTTGTAAACTATTACATGGTTGCATTACTAAAATGTTATAAAAGAAGAAAACGGTGGAGATATCATATATGTACAATAAAGAAAATAAATGCCAAATTTCATGGCGCCCGCTATACATAACAGACAAAATTGTAGTTTCCGTGACCTAATGATGAAAAAGGAATCAGTAGGCAACAATTGTCCAATCTATGTAAAATATCTGAAAGAAAATCATATCCCACACTAAGCCCTGCATGATCCTTGCTTTATTCTAAGCCATGCATGATCCCTGCTTTATTCTGGTAATTTGAAGTCATCAGTCAAGTTTTTTTAAAAAAAAAAAACTATGAGGATTTTTTTTTTTTTTTTATGCGTGTAGGTTTTAGCAAGGTCCAAAAGAGAAAACCCAATAACGAATCTACTAAAAAGCATTGTAATGTTTAAATAAAAGGTTAAAAGAAAAAAAGGAAATAGATCAAATATTATAGTTGTTTAAAGTTACATAGTGTGGGTCACATAATTAGCGTAAATATACAAGTGTTCAATGCTCTAACACAAAAGTATTAGTATTCTTTCCAAGATCATATGAAGAGTAGGAAAATGAGCAAAAGAATATATAATTTGCAACACAACAAAACAAACCAACACAGCTACAATCTTCATATCTCTACCTACTTATGAAGGTTCGATGAAAAAGGAACCCATTCATCAAATAACATACTAGAAAAACTTATGAATCCGAAATGCTAGACAGAAATATCTTCTAATATATCTTATAACAATATGCTAACTTAGAATTTGGCAACATACTCCTGACTCTTAACAACTTTGTAGCATTCCAGGAAATGTAATTTAGTTTAAGTTGAAACGACAAAGAACTAAAAGTGATACGCTCCTGGCACGGACATAGAGTTTTGATTATTTAATAGACATAAAAATAATGACATAGTACAAAATAAAATTAAAAGCTCCAAATAAAACTCTTCCAAACTCAATGTAGTAGTCAATCAGATGTGGCGAACTATTCATTTAATTCAAGAAAGGAAATTGACTATACAAAGAACTTGCTGCCAAAAGACATATAAATAACACAAACTTAATAACTTACTAGTAACCATCCCTAAGGCCACCAAATTTTTCCTGCCCAGCTGTGTCCCAGCAATAAAACCGAATTTTCCCGCAGTTTGTGAAGAAATCCAAAGGATGGACTTCCACCCCAATAGTGGCTACTCGAGATTATATAGAAGATAATTAGGATAATCAGTTTCAAACAAAAAATTTGAAAAGCGCATCAACTAAGAAAACGCTAACTTAAAAACAAAGGGAAAAGAAAATGAACTATTTTCAGACTTACGTTCGTATTTCTTCTCAAATTCACCAGTAAGATGCCTCTTCACAAATGTGGTTTTACCTACATCATGCAAAACCTTAAATACATAAGTCTACAATTATAAATCAATTATGAATTGGTAAATCGAAGTAAAATCCAATATAATCACTTGTACTAAAATCCCTACCACATGTAACAGAAACGAAAAATACACAACTCAGAATATCCTAAACAACAAAAACAAAACCCTAAAGATGAAATAATTAGACCAATAACCGGTCCTCAAAGAAATAATGTAGCACAGCTTCAAAACAGCAAACCTTAAAATTTTCTAGATTATTATGTTATTTTCGAGCACCAGAAAAAAAAAAAAAAAAGTTCTCGTATCAAATTGGGTAACCCATTAGTTTAGTGAATCAATGTTCTGTTTGTTCATGTAAAGATTCGACCTTTGATCATTACTTTCCCAGATTTTTCTAGCAGCCAAACACAATACAATGATAAAATAAAATGAAATAAAAAACCCTAATTTTTTTTTTTTTAAAAAAATACCTGTTCCACCATCACCAACAATTACAAGTTTGAAACTCGGATAATCAACAGTTTGCTGATTGGGCAAAGCCTGCAAAACAAAAATCCAAAACGAAATCAATCAAAACCCAAAAGAAAAAGTAATGAAAATCAAGGAGATAAATTAGAGAAAGCGAGGGGAAATGAAATCTACAGAGTGAGACTAAGAAATAAAGAGAACGCATGAAAGACTTACCATTGATTGGCTTCAAGTGTTCGAACAGTTTAGAAAGAGCAAGTGATAGAGAATGTAATGTGGGGAGAGAGAGAGAGAGAGAGAGAGACGAGAGTTTTGAGAATATATATAGTAGGTTTTAAGAAGGTTTCCCAAGTGATGTAGCTTTAAGGTAACGCGACTCTTTGGTCCGTCCGATGAAATCAAATACTCTTATCAGTAATAAATCACGTGCACCTGTAGATAGAGAGAGTTAATGAGAAAATATATGACAATATGTCATTTAATTAAAATTATTGTACTTTTTTTATCTTACTTTTTCATTTTTGTCCGGGACAAAAAGAATATCACTTATAAGCTGATTGATTCCATTAGGTGGAATTTTGTTCAGTTGCGTTGTCTCCGCGCTTATATAAGAAAGTATTTTTTTTAATATAGTTAAAAATTAAAATATTTTAGATAATTAAATTTTTTTTAGACAATCAATCTCTCTTAATTTTTTATTTTTATAAATATAGATTTTATTTCTTGTAGAAGAAGAGTCATGTAAATAAATGTATTTAGTTTAGGACTACGTGCGTTGCTCATTTGGCATCACTACCATTAGGCATTTTAGTATTACAAATATTCTACTTCAAATACAAATTACTGATCATTAAATATGTTTAAATTATTTCTAATTTAGTGTTAAATAAAAATATTAATATAAATAAACAAAAAAATATGATAATAAAGAATAATTCAGAACAATTAATCTTCAAAGATATAATTATTGAAAGTCCAACAAATTTCAGCAAACACACTCACCCTATATATATATAGAGAGAGAGAGGGGTTAGTGGGGTGTTATACCATCTAGGTTAGTGGTAACCTATAAGTCTGTATAATTCTTTTAAATGAATGTGACTCTTACGCTCTTTGGCACTCCAAGCATGTTCTTACTTTCGATTCCACTATGTTTGACTTAGATTTTGTTACTTTTACGTTTTCGATCTCGGATTTGCTGCCGCTCCCGCTCCCATATCTGTTCTGTGTGACTTAAGTGGTAACTCGTAATACACATATTTATTAATGTGTGGATAATAGAGTAAAATAAGTAATAACAACTCTTTTAGCAACATTACCAAACACTTACATGCCTTTTATTGAATTATAGTTAAAGCAAGAAACAGATTCCACACAAGAGGGCTGAAGGAAATCTCCATATTCTATTGTTATAATCTAAAGACAAGAATTTTGCTTGAACTCAAAACTTTATGCTTGGATGTACCATCATCACTTTATGTGCCATTTTAGCGTCTTAAGTTAGAATTTCTTGAATTTGTTGGGGAGCCAAACTTCTTGTTTGTTTTTGTTTCAAATAGATTGAGGCTATGTTTGATTATTTGGAATTAGAACTTTAAAATTAAAATTAGTGAAATTGAAAAAAAACAACTCAGAAAATTGAATTATAATTTTCTCAAATTCCATCAATTTCATGCAACCGAATACAACCAGAAAGAATTCGAACATAAGATCAAGGAAAGATACCACACCCATAAAGCAACAAAATTTCATATTCCCCTTGTACGTACACATACAAAGCTTAGTACAACATAATAGAACAGAGTAACTTCTCTTCTCTAAACTTGGATAGGTTTTGCAGCTTTGGCTCATATCTTTCACCTCTAATCCATTGAATCTTGAATAAACTCCAATGCTCTCATTTCTCTCGCTAAAAGTACATAAACCACTCAATAACACCACACTAGTATATTATATATACCATCATGACATTAGTATATGAAAAATATGTTTATAGTAGATATGCTAAATTTAAAACTCACACTCCTTCCTGCTTGTTTTCATCTCATGCTCGAGCGCATTAATCGAATACATATATCAAAAGGCTAAAAATGTTCTTGATGTGATCAGCGAAACACTTTCGACTGCATAACTTGTGGCTACTAACTTCACACCAATCTTCGTGGTTTGCGAACGCTGAGCAGCTTCACATCATCAACAACGGGACCACACAGGGAAGAGAAGTCGTCGCTTCTCATGGTGTAGAACGTGCTAAGGAACATGATTCGAGTCCTCGTTGAGGCAGCAACAAACCGAAGGACAGCGCGCTTGTAGCCCCCTTTGCCCTTGGATTCGTAGGGGACCTTGATGGTGTCTTTGCCGGCAAATGCCTCAACAATCATGGACCCTTCGCAAGAGTTGCTAGCGTCTCCCACCGCGAAGAAGAGGTCATAAGTCTTTCCGGGGATGGTTCGTGTTACTTGAGCAATGGCACTTTCTTTTCCCGCCACAAGCTCAACCGCTCTCTTGCCCTGAGGCACCGAGAAGTGGCCGGAGTCTATGTATTTGACAGCTTTCAGAGATTCAACCATCCAACCGGGTAGCGGAGAGTGGTCATCCTCGATGTTTGGAGGGATAAGGACACCCCAAGATGTGTTTGGAAACACATACGGTCCTTCTTCAAAACCGCCATTTTTTAGTATGTTCTCTGTACAAATAGCAAAAAGTACCAAGTCAATAATGAAAGACAAAACAGTCCCTACTGTCTTCAATGTCATGAAAAATATTAAAGTTTGGAGTCTCTCTCAAACCTAAATGTGAAATGGTGCGTGAGGGTATCATTAACTCAATGTTGAAACGATTTTAGACATACATTAGGAGTTGGACATTGACAGACAGAAACAATGTAATAAAATGTGTATGTGACAACTTTGCATTCATTGAACATATATAATCTTCAAGTGCTGTCTTATCAAATACCATTAATTCTATTTATTTTGTGCATAATTTCAAAATAAAAAATGTGTGTATATATATATATATCGATAAACATACAGGAATGCATACAATTTGCATTCTAGAGCAACATTCATTAAAAAAATGGCCCAACTGTAGGAGAAGATGATGATATGATTGAGGACACAAATGCAAATTAATAAAATGACATTACAATCAATGTCAACATTAATTTATTCAATTGATTTATGCAATATAAATCAATTATAAGTAGTGTTGTAATTATATTTATCAAAATTATAACATATATGAAAGATCGACCATGCAATTTAAGCAACTATATCAAACGCCAGAGAAGAACATTTTTGCCTAGTATAAATGATGGATACATTCAACCTACCTCCATAGAGGTCCATGATGAACCACAACTTGGGAAGTAGTGGTCCAAAGGACCATACATTATGGTCACTTTGTTTCTTACATATGCATGCACTTGTGTAAAAGAATATATATTTGTACACAGAGAACCAAGTAGACGCTAAATGGTGTGTGAAAGTCATTAACTCAATGTCGAAACAATTTTAGACATACATTAGGAGATGGACATTGACAGACAGAATTTTATGTTTTTATAACTATTTAATAATAATAATAAAAAAAAAAAACTGAACCAAGTAGACCCTAAATAAAATAATAATTCGGGATAACTTACTATTAGTGGCTCTAGGTGGATATAGAGATCTGAACGCAATTGAATCGATAAGTGGTCCACAAGCGGGATCCTCCTCTACGCCTGGATTATGAATGACAATATCTATGACATCGAAGTCGGCTTGGAAGGCCCAAGCATATGAGTCCCATCCATTGCTACTATACAAAGTTTGCATCGGTAGAACACCGGAGTCCGGTGCCACGGACACGTTTAGCCACTCCTCCTGAGCGCACGTGCGCGCCGCGCTGAAAGTAATGGAATAGTACATTCCCTTCGTTACTCTCACTTTTTGCGTTATGTAAGCCTCGTTGCCTAGCCTAACAGCAAAGGCTCCCTCCGGAACCACCAGCAACATGTCACCTTGCTTTTGTCCCGCTTTTATGTACTCCACGAAGCCGGATATCTCCCATTCCGGTATGGCATTGTGTCTCAGCACCTCCGTGCCGTTCATGTCCGAGGGCTTGGGACCATACTCGAAGTTGCCATTTGGTAATAATCCTGTAACATGAAGGGTAAAATTGGAATTTCATTTTACACTGAGACGAGACCCTGCTGCAGTCAAGGGGGCATAACATGCCTATTGTAACAGAATAACATAAGCATTCCAAGAGAGGTGGCGTTTCAAAAATCGTCAAATGACAAAATTACCCTTGCTTTCAACTCTATTTACAAGAAGTATAAGAACATGAGGACATTTATGAGAATGACTATTAGTTGTGACATAAGAGTAAATGAACTGAAGCATATTCATGAGAATGACTATTAGTTGTGCTATGGGAGTGAATGAGCTAACACAACAAGAGGCAAATTTAGCTGTAAGGACAAAATTAACCCTGTGTTGTACTTCTCTCAGTAAACTGGTTGAACAATGGACACGGTTTTTTTTTTTTTTTGGCTTCTCTATGTTATTGAGCAACTGTGTGACTGTGACCTATCAAATGGGTGTTAAAGAAACATAAATTACTATGAGTCTCTCCACCAATTACGAATTCACGCATAAAAAAACTTGAATTTCAAAACATGTAATAATTTTTTACTAGTAGTAAAACAATACAACCATGTGGACATTAATTGACAGTTTGAAAAGTTCATTTCACATGGGTTTATAGAATTTGTCAAGAGTCACATGGCCTATGACATTAAAGTTTGACAAGTGGAATGTCAGCATCTGCACAGTAAATTGTTGCATAATCACAAAATGACATTTTTACCCCTCAACACATCTACTTGGCCACCTCTGAACTCTGAAACTCCCTCATAAATGACTATATGGACAAATTTCGACAACTTGGGCAACATCATTGCCTGTCACCACCGACCTAGTCCAGTTTTTAACTTAGTTTAAATGTTTGAATCCCAACAAAGGGTCATAGGATTCAAAAGCTAATTATGGACAGATAGGACAGCCATACAGATTGCAATTAAGATACAGGATTAAGGGTGTTTTGGTCCTTATATCATGCAAGCTTCCATAACCCAATGGTCACTGTACTATTGGCGCCATAACCCAATGGTCACAACACAATAAATAAATATAACCAAATTCTGAATGAGAAATGAGGGGTTCATAACTTCATATATATGTTCTATGGAGTGAAAAAAGTAGTGAGAGATTGAAGAGAGAGAAACAATCAAGCTAATAAATAGAGTCACATTTCAGTGCCATTTGCCAAAAGAAAAGGAGAAGACTCTTACCATCAATAAGGGCCAAGGAGACTTGGCAAGTAGTGCACAGTAACACACACACTACTATGGCCACTTTCATTGTAAAATCAACTCTCTCCATTTTTGTAGAGATACAATATATATATATATATAGAGAGAGAGAGAGAGAGAGAGAGAGGAGGAGGTGGTGAGGGAGGGGAAGTGAGATGAATTGAGTAGAAAGGGGTGTGCAGCAGCTTTTATGCATGTCAAGCTCAAGAAAAGCCATTGGACTTCAAGATTATAACATTAATGCCACATGGGATTTTGGAATGACTAGTTTGTCCTTTTGAACTTATTTATTTATATTTTGAAAGGAACTTTTGAGTTATTTGTCATCATCTATATTGGAAAATCTATTCTCGTCGGAGTTCGAAGACAAAAGCTGTTTAGAATCACATGGCTTCGCACCTTAGGCTGTTGCAAAGCATGTATCACCACTGTTTTTGGCTTTAACCTTTTCTTAGAGTCTGTTATAGGGGTACTTTTGTCATTTAGTCATTGACATAATCATCCAATTGTCTCCAAATTATTTGTTAACTGAACTTTGCAAATTCAATTGATAATTCAAAGGGGATTACAAATTAGTCGCTTAATTCACACTAGTGTGTGTGTGTGTATATATATATATAAGTAGTGTGTGTGTGTGTGTGTGTGTGTGTGTATATATAAGTGATTAGATCAACCAAAAAAATGAAAACATTAATTGGAAATGTCAAATAGTATTGAAGCACAGCATACCATGTGCATTATGTGAATGATGGTGCTGCTTAATTATGCTCGAGTTTATCATCTCTAATTAGTTTCCTAGTTGATTTGATTTAGTGTACTTGTAAGAATAAACCACGGCCGTGTTGTATTAGTTAAGGTTTCAAGATTTGTGATTTTTAATGACTAGATATGCTTAGTGTAATTGTGATTGTTGGGACAGCATAATTTAGTTAGTAAGTTTGTGGAGTTCACTGTAAAATTCACAGAATTCGAAAATTGAGCTTGCATAGCCATGACAGATGTCATTCGAGTGGTGTGCATGATTAATCATTGTATCCACATTTGTGATTCTATGATCAACATAATAATTTGATATGTTTATATGTGTGTGTATATATATATATATGATTTCATGATCAATTAAATAAAGTCAAAAGGTATATTATGCTTCCCAAATTTTGTTATTTGTGGTTGAGGTGGCAAAGTCCAGCACAAAGTTTCTTTTTTCACTGACCCTACCATTCTGGTCTATTTAGGTCGGCATCTTTGCGAAAATTAAAAGAAAAAGGGTCAGGCCCAATATTAGCGGGCTCTTTTATTTTCCTAATTAATATTTCTTTTGTTTCAAAATAAACGTCGTGTTTTTTTTTTATCTGTTTCAAAATAATTGTCTATTTTTTTTTTTTTCAAACAATATATTTCACCTTTAAATTTTAAATTTTAAACTTGAATATTCAAAACATAAAATGGCAATTTAATAACTTTCTAATAAGACAATGCATGTTCCACATGTCCCCTTAAAAATTACTATTATCCACAAGTGACACTTAAATTGAAAAGAAGGGAGTACAATTTATAACAAAATTAAACATTTTAAAATTTCATTATTATATTGATAAATTTCACCATTTAAAATGGTTAAATTTAAAATTAAATATGGAGGTTGCACCGAAAATATATATATATATATATATATATACATACCGAATTAAATTTTGATTCGTGATGACACTTATTAGGGCTATGTTAATTGTACCAAAGGTGCGTGTGTTGACATTTTGACAATCGGTTCATCTCATTGACAACTCAAGATGTCAATATTAGATGAAAATGGATACTGACAAGCACAATCATTTTTAAAGTTGTCACTCTTTAGTAAGGCCAAATAAGGAACGTCATAGACTTGTTAGGTACAACTCTCCATGGGTAGAATTTGAACCAGTCCCACTAAAATTAATGACATATCTCACTAAAGAAAAAACAAGGGCACCCTTTTTTAACATAAAACTTGCAATATTCCTACTAACCCTAGATTTCTGTTTCTCACTGTTCTTATCCAAATTAAACTTTTGCTTCTTGGACTACAATAAATTGCTAATTAATACAATGGATCACTACTAATTCACTATCACAAATATAACCCAATTTAAAGAATTTTTATATCACGACTTTAAACTATAAACTAATAAAGGGATTGTGGTGTCTCCAGAGGCACAGTGACGTTGATAGGGATCCAGGAGATAAGTTTTTGAAGTTTCGCTTTCGAACTGTACTCCTGACTTGAATAGCGCGTGTGTTGTGGAGTCGATACACGTACTCTAAGAAAAAATAAATAATAAAGGGATTGCCACTTGGAGGAAAGATAAGTCTAAGAAGAACATGAGACATAAAACAAATAGGTCTTGCTTTTTAAACTTTTCTCTATCAATTTTTGAACTCTTACCTTAAGGGTTGACTATACCAGCTAACTCTCAAGCCATAGAGGTCGGTTTCATTTTGCCTATCGATTTTGGTAATTTTCAAACCTAAACATGGAAATTTATTTATTTATTTTGACATGGACACACTCGTTTGAAGAGTGAGTGAGTGCTTCGCGATTCGATCCAAAATCTAAACTGTTAGATGGGCCTAACATCCAGTCCATATATCCATATATACCAATTCACTTTTTCATCTGAATTCGATGTGGGACAAGCTCTCCTTTGTTACGTTCTTCCCCACCCGAACTCATAATGCCCTCGCTGCGGTTTGGACCACCCTGCCTACTCAGGGTCCATACCTGACGCTTGGTATGACACCGAATCAAGGATTAAATCTGACTCTGATACCAACTATAATGGGTAGATACTTTGCAATTCAACCCAAAAATTTAAGCTGGTAGGTGACACTAATATCCAACCCATATATAAGCTTCCCTTTATTACACTAGACCACTAGTTGATACCCCTAAGCATCGGAGATTAACCAAGTTAGTTGTTCTACTAGTATGTTTATACGACATAGTGTAATCAATGGGTTTTTATATGAAATTATTTCTATTTGTTGGTGTTAGTGACTTTTCTATGTATTTTGGCTTTATCATGAGCTTGTTTGGAAACTGAGAAAAAAAACATGGCACGAGGGTTTTCGGGCCATACCATCGGATTGGGACCCACAAGAAGAGGCAGGTTGGAGGATGCATGAAAATCTATCTGACCTAATAAAAACCGAAGATCATGGCTTGCTTCATTGGTGAGGGGGAAGCACGTGGGCCTGTGGGAGTTTAAAATAAAGGCATGAGGTGGCCCGTCATATAACCTCAGCGTCATCTCTTCTCTCTCTCAACTGCATCTGCATCTGCAACTGCATGTGGACGTCCGAGCTCGGGCCGAATATCATGGGCCCACTGTCCTTCTCTTTTTGGATTCTTCTTGGCCCAAAACATAAATATGCACCATCCTAATTTACTATTTTACCCCACTTCGTTTTCAATTTTGGGGAAGGTTTATACACATGTCGGCCAAGACAATTTCTTTATAATTTCATTTATTTATTTTACTGCACGCCTTTAAACCAACTACTTTATTATTTAATCATGCAACACTTTTTTAATAAATATAATTTTATATATTTTTTTATTTTTTAATAAATTTTATATTATCAAATATACTTCCAATCACATATAAAAAAAAAATTACAATAAAAAAATTATTTTTGTTTTACATAAAAACGAAAGCACAAAACAAAAATAATTACAAACGGCTCTTGATTTAATAAAAATATGATGTCGATATGATGACTTTATATACTCTATGACACTTGTTAGAGAAAAACTTTATTTTATTTATTTTTTTAACAATTTAAAAAATAAAACAAATATAAATATAATATTAGAAAAAATAACAAATTTAATCTGAATATGGTAATAACAATAAATACGAAATTAAACAAAAGTTACTATTTGTGAGGAGTACCTCTTAAAATAATAATAAATAATAGGATTAATTACAATGACACCCTCTGAGGTTTACCTTATTGACAGTCATATACAAATTAGCCCATTTTTGGACAATGACACCCCCTAAGCTTTGCTACCTTTGACAAAGACACTCATTGAGGGGCTGATATGTGATAAAATGACCTACGTGCCCTTTGACTTATGAAATGACACTTTTGAATAACAAAATTACTAAATTACCCATACTAATAAATTTGAAATGTCCAAAATAACCTCTCACATCTCTCTATGTATAAATATAAGCAATATATACATAGCCTGACATATATATATATATATATATATATATAGATATATATAAGCAGTGGCCCGACTATTTTTTACCGACAACTACCGACTCATCTACGTGGACAACCACGTTGCCATCTTCTCTCTCCGAAAGCCGTACAAGACCCACTAACAACTGATCGGTAAAAATGCGTCGGAACGGCGACACAACCGCAGACTGATCGAAGACCCAATAGCAACCGCCGATACACCCAATTTCCGTTGGGTTCTTCAAACATTCGTGGCTATCCTTGGTGGACTCGTCCTTACTAGCGTTGGACTATATCGTGAGCAGCTTGAAGAGGTGCAGAGTTTTTTTTTTTTTTCACAAGAAATTTTTGTTTTTATTCCTCTATATCAAATCAAAATTACCCAATATCAGGGTTTACAAGGATCTAATACGATAAATGAATTGAAACTTTCACATTCCCCGCAAGTTCAAGAACCTCAGAAGGCCGGTCTTCAATTCCCCGTCGGCAGAATCGCCAGCTCCCTCAAAGCCGGCAAGTACGCAGAGCGAGTCGGTGCTAGTGCTCTGGTCTACCTCTTCGCCGTTCTTGAATACCTAGCCGCCGTTCTTGGAGGACTTGGGCTTGCCTCTGCCTCCTTTGGTTGAACCTGCAAAACTCATCGTCTATGTGTATTTCCGATCGCTGTGCATAGACGAGCTTGGCTCGCGGTTGAAATCTTGCTGTAGTATTTCAGATCGCTGATTTCATCGTTGAGTTATTCAACGACGACTATCTCTAGACTATCGGCGAGAGGTTTGAAGAAGTCACCGTCGGGAATTGGATCTGGGTCTTGCCGTGTTTCGTTGGTTTTTCAGTTGTAGTCGTTGAGCTCCGTCCGTTGACCTTCGCTGTCGCCGCTTTCTGTGAATCCAATGCTCTGAGCCTTTTGCT